CTCTCCTGGCTGTCTCTCCTTGCTCTCTCCTGTCTGTCTCTCCTCTCTCTCTCTCCTGTCTGCCTCTCCTCGCTCTCTCTCCTGGCTGTCTCTCCTTGCTCTCTCTCCTGTCTGCCTCTCCTCGCTCTTCTGGCTGTCTCTCCTCTCTCTCCTGGATGTCTCTCCTCTCCTGTCTGCCTCTCCTCGCTCTTCTGGCTGTCTCTCCTCTCTCTCCTGTCTGCCTCTCCTCGCTGTCTCTCCTTGCTCTCTCTCCTGTCTGCCTCTCCTCGCTCTCTCTCCTGTCTGCCTCTCCTCGCTCTTCTGCCTGTCTCTCCTCGCTCTCTCTCCTGGCTGTCCCTCCTCGCTCTTCTGGCTGTCTCTCCTCTCTCTCCTGGATGTCTCTCCTCTCCTGTCTGCCTCTCCTCGCTCTGCTGGCTGTCTCTCCTCTCTCTCCTCGCTCTCTCTCCTGGCTGTCTCTCCTCGCTCTCCTGGCTGTCCCTCCTCGCTCTCCTGGCTGTCCCTCCTCGCTCTCCTGGCTGTCCCTCCTCGCTCTCCTGGCTGTCCCTCCTCGCTCTCCTGGCTGTCCCTCCTCGCTCTCCTGGCTGTCTCTCCTCTCCTGTCTGCCTCTCCTCGCTCTCTCTCCTGGCTCTCTCTCCTGGCTCACCTTGCTGTATTTTGCTGTGTAAACTAATATTCTTTGATGTAATACATGGCACTACAACCCCCAGTATCCCCCAGAAAGGTGTCAGGGAGCTCGGCTCAGCAGACTCCGGCTGATAGGTAATCATGTGTGCGCAGCTAAATAACTATACCAAAATGGAATAAAGGGGCCGCCATTCCCCCCCTTCCTGATCTACCAGCATCAGCTTTGAGAGCTACTACTAGATCACCATCCACCTAATGGGCGCCCCTGTCCTAAGGTGTCCGGCCAGCTTAGCAGAGCTCTCTCCTGTCACAATGTATAAAGAAAAAGGATACAAAGCAAAACAAAGATCTGATCCCCGGAGGATACAAAGTATCAAAACCAAACACAGTATTAATAAGATCGAAACGTCTTCCTCC